ACGCTCTACTGTACAAAATCAGCCGCTATTCCGGAAAAACTATTCTGCTCCTGCTCGGGCATAAGTCCTTATTCCGGAACACGATCGAAAAAAGCCCCGATCGTGAAAATGGCAATCGGGGCTCTTTTCCGGAAAAGCGCGTCTACATTGGCCACAGACGCTTTTCCGGAAAAGCAGCCTGCCAATGTAGACGCTCCTTTTCCGGAAAAACTGAAAACGGAATAGTATTCCGTTTTAAGCCTTTCCGGAAATTCATGCCAGTGTAGACGTAGCTAGTATGTATGTTACCCTTCTGAATCAGTCAAGATCCCCTTGGATGCTGTTCTGGGCTGTGTGAATTCTCAAGAACAGTCCTGTGGCATCTGACGGTGTGTCTACACTGCACCTGTAGCTTGAAATAAGCTGCATAGCTTATTTCGAGGTAATTTCGAAATTGCTTTATTTTGAAATTTGGCGCTGTGTAGACTGGGCCAAATTTTGAAATAAAGCACTAATCCGAAACGTCCCTTAACTCTCATGCAATAAAGTTTACAGGGACATCAGAATAGCGAGCCTGTTATTTCGATATAACGGGCTTGCTCTTAAGACGCAGAATAGCAATTTTGGGATACCAAAGGTATCCCAAGATAGCTCTGCAGTGCAGAGGTAGCCGTAGAGACTAACAAAACTATATATAGTATCATGAGCTTTCGTGGTCAAAGCCCACTTCCTCAGATGGGCTGAAGGCTGGAGTGGAAGTGACAGGAACCCAGAATTTATAATTTGAATTCTCAAGGGACTTCCTTCTGGTCGAGGCTTAGGAACACAAGGCCTCGGTTCTCCTATGTGTTTTCCAGCAGCCACTGCTCAGATGAAGCGCTTTCCAAATCATCAAGTTCTGGTGAAAAATACCAAACTCTCTTACATTCTGCAAGTCAGTAGCCTCGTGAATCTCTCCGATTCACCAAAGAACAAGCCTCGGGGGGAGGGGAGGGGGGGGAAGAGGGGGGAGGGCGTCGTGTTCGTCTGTAGCTACAAAAAACAATGAAGAGTCCCATGGTACCTTAAAGATTAACAGATTTCTACAGGCACAAGCTTTCGTGGGTATAACCCACTTCATCAGATGCCAGGAATCTGACACAGTGTTTTTTACCCAGGAAAGCTTGTGCCCAAATACAAGTACTGTAAAACTCCAAAAGTCCAGCATCCAATAGTCCGGCACTCCTGATAGTCCGGCATCAAAATGGCAAGAGCCTAGTGAGTGAGCTTTGGCAAAAAATGAGTCACAAGGTAACAGAGGCAGCAGCTGAACTGAGCGAAAATGGTAAAAAAGGGTTAAAAAAACCTAAAACATTACAGTATACTGTATACAGTATGTACAATAAAATGGGTTAAGAACACTTTATATCCAGTATATACATAACCATCTTATAGTTCCTCCTGATACTCCGGCATATCCGATAATCCGGCACCACCTAGGTCCCATAGGTTCCGGATTATCGGAAGTCTACTGTATTCATCTTGAAGGTGCCACAGGACAACCAAAGAACCGGTTAAGCTTGGAGCCAACGTCAATGGGAGTTGGATTGAGTAGGTAGTCAGGTAGATGCTGGCCATATAAACTGCAGGTACCTTCACTTACAATAGTGTTAAATATCACCCTCCTGGCAGTCCGTGAGTATAAAGGGCGAGATGAGCTTTACTGGTAGGAACTCTGTGAGGGGGTCACTAAATTCTAATCAGAGACCAAGCAGCCCAAGCCAGGCCTGGCCCTGGAAATGCCTCAGGTTACACAGACAGGACAGAGTTATGAGGGTCTTACCTGACACTGAGTTCACGCTGCAGCAGTAACACAAAGACACAACGCAACCGGCATTAAGCATTGTCAAGCCCACGGGTGTTTAGAGACAAAAAAAGGGAAAAATAGGAATATTTTCCTGCATTCATTTAGACTTTCTCCCTCATACCCGCCCCCCCCCATAAACCCCTCCCGGTCTTCAAAATTCAGCATCTCCAGGGTCTCTCGAGACAGCAGTCTGGGAAGGACCCCCATTTCTCAGCCCCCGGGAGGTTTATCTGAAAGCAAGTTGGGCTTTCATTGGCTTTTCCTGAGGCCCGTTCCTGGAAACGGTGGCCTTCTCATCTCCATGGAAACCGGCCAGGTCTCGGACCCCAGCAATGAGTCAGTTCAGAGACTGCAAAACCAATTTCCAGCTTGCTTGAGGTAGCAGCTATTCTTCTGAAATTACATCAGCATTTCACACTTGCACAAGAAAACAGCTCCTCTGGCCAGACAGCAAGGTGAAACCTGGATTGTGCAACCTCTGGACCTGCCATTTTCCAACTCTAGAAATTGGGCTGTTTGCAGGAAAATAGAGGAACCCATCTTTTAGCTAGGAGAGGAGAGGGTTTTGGAGAGGCACACTCTAAGCAAGGGTTAACATGTAGGAACAGCGCCTCTTTTACGGACTTGCTGGCCGGTGTAGCATTGCACGCAGATTCATGCATTGGGCTTTCAGGCAGCTGTAGCTGGGTAGGAGCTTAGAAAAGCCACTTGGAGCGGCAAATTTAATTTCCAAGCGCATCTGATTTCTGGGCCCATGCGCCCTTCCACAACTCTGCCTTGAGCAGAAGGGGAGTGGCACTATCTTGGAGAGCAGATTCCAGGGCCAAAATCAAAGTGCAAAGACTGAACCCCTCCCCCACACCCCCAGCATATGCATGAGTTAACATACAAAAGTTATAAGAACCTAAGTGTGGTGGCACGGAAATCACCAGGCTGCCCGTCATCTTCCCCGGGCAGCTAAGAATTGCGGCACACAGCACGGGGTGCGCAACCTCATCCACAGCTCTGGCACCCCCTGAGCCCCCCGGCACAACCCGCCACCCACAGCGTTCCCGGGGATGTGAAAGCTAGAGGTGGCCGAGGGTGTGGAGGTCGGAGTCTGGATTTGAACTGGCCCGTTCTGAGAGTTGTTCAGAGCGGCTGCCGGTGGCTGGAGGGTAGGAACTGGAGAGGGAAGTCAGGGCACTGTTTGCCCCCTTTGCCCTCCCCCTTGGTGGGCCTGCAATTTCCCCAAAGGACCTGGGGCCCTGGCCACTGTTACCATAGCAGCGGCCAACGCCCCGGGCCCTTTAAACTCCTGCTGGAGCATTGCGGCCGCGTGCTCCAGGCAGATGTGAGGGCTGTTGAGGGGAGGCCCCGCCCCTTCTTTCTGAGGCCCCGCCCCTTCCAGGAGCATGGAATCTGCCCTCCCCGAGACTTTACCCTGGGCCCGGCGAGGCTGTCAGCCCCATGGCCTGTGTGCAATGAACTCCCATGGGCTGCGGCGTTTCCCGGGCCTGCAGCGTGGAATTCTGCACCTGGGAGGAGGCAGGGACAGCGGATCTCGCCCACCAGCAAACCCGCGGCTCCCAGCAAGAAGCTGCTGTTATCCAAGAGCCCCCCCAGTAAGGGTCAGGCAGGTTCTTAGGGCTGCAAGCGAGGAAGGGAGCCCCGGGTCCTGTACCAGGGCAGGTGCAGCCCAGAGAACGCAGGGAGAAGGGCCACGAAGGGCCAGGCTGCAGCTCTCAGCCTTCCACCTCCCCTCCCTCCCAGCCTGCGGCGCTGGGACTCCAGCAGGGGCTCCCCACTCCGCTTCCCCTGGTGCGGGCAGCGGGTTCCCCTGGTGCGGGAAGACAGGTCCCAGCACTTCCTCCCCTGGCCGCAGCCCAGCAAACCTGGACTTTTCTGCAAGTGCCAGCGGTTCCCAGGCGGCCTGCCTGCTGCCAGATCCCACCAGCCTCCGAGCTAACGGGATCAGCTGCGGCGCACGGCCGCTCCTCAGCCAAAGGCGTTAATATCGGGGGGATTCGTGAGTGGCAGCCCCAGTGCAGGCGGGCGGGGGTGCATTGGAGAGGTGGCTTGGAGTGGAGGGGGGGGGGTTCATTCATCCCCAGCCTAACTCTGCCTGCCAGAGACCCCCACCTGCCTCGCTCCCTGGCCGGGGAAGACACATGCCACTCTAGAGAGGCGGGCCTGGGGGCAGAGGGCACGTGGGGGCGTGGCTTGCCTTGCCCAGTGGCAGTGCTACGGGTGGGGCGTGCAGGGGGACACGCCCGGCTGAGAAGAGGGAGACTGGAGTTGACTTGGGAGGCCAGGAATCTGCCCATCAATCCCCGCAACAGGCCCCTCTCCATGCAGGCCATAAGCGCCCGCATCGCCTGCGGCCAGGCTCCGCCCTGACGCTTCCCAGCACAACCCTTACCTCTTCCAGCTGGCTGTGGACGTGCTGGACAATTAGATCAATGGCCACGGTGTTCCCGCTACCTGCAGGGCGCCGGAGCATGAGAGAGACCACGTGAGCACGGGGACTCTGCGCCACGCCGGCACCACGCTCTCCACCGCCCGCGATCCAAACCACGATCCACAGAATGGTGACGGCTCCCTGCCGGAGCCAGGGTGGGGAACCTAAGGCCTGGGGCCCGGACGTGGCCCCTGGCTTGCCTGGATCCAGTCCCCAAGGTTCAGGGTTCTCCCCTCCCCCAGCACTGGGGAGTCCACGCTGGTGCTGCAGCCCCACCCGGCCTTCCCTGTGGGGCTGGAGCACAAAAAATCTAGCCTGGGCCTCCCAGGCTCCGGTGTGTGAGTGGCATGTGGGGGACGGCCCTTCCCTTGGTCAGGGGCCTCGTCAGTGAGAGATTTTTGTTTTGCGTCTCACTTGTGTGCCGCCCGACTGATTTTTCTGTGGGTCAGCAGCCCCCGACCCCAAAATGCCCCCCCCCGCTCTAGAAGCGGAGCCAGGGAGCCATGAACGGAGGCAGACCCTGAGGTAACCCCAAACCACCCAACCCAAGGACAGCCCTGGCAATGGCTGGGGAGCCAGAAAGGGCAGGGGGCTGTAAGGCCGGGCATGGCAGGGCCATTCAGCGCCCTAGCGGTCTGCCGCCCAGCAGTGCGCGGTTGGCCTCGATGCCAGCCGCAGGGCAGAAGGGAACAGGCGGAGACTAGAGCAGAGGGGAGGAGCGGAGGGAGCTGGGATCCGTTCTGTGCCGCCGCGAGACAAGCAGCCCCAGGATCTCTCAGCAAGCCCACGTGACAAGCCAGGAAGGGTTGGCCGAGAGCGAGCCGGGCAGGTACCTCGGGGCACGACGATGTCGGCCAGCCGCATGGTGGGCTGGATGTACTGGTCGAAGGCGGGCTTGACAAATTTGTTGTACTGCTTGATGACCCCCTCGATGTCCCGGCCGCGCTCGCCGATGTCCCTGCGCAGGCGGCGCACCAGCCGGATGTCCGAGTCTGTGTCGACAAATATCTTCATGTCGAGAAGCTGAAACGAGGCAGACGGGGGACGTGTGGGTGGAGCTTCGCTCAAGCCACGCCCCTCCCGCCGCAGTGCCTGGACAGAAGCAGGAGGGGGCGCTCTCACTGCACCTGCGATCAGGGAGGGGAAGCCGTGGGCTGAGCCCTGCCCAGCCAAAGGTGGGTGGTTTGGGGTTCTCTCTCTGCGGTCGGCAGCTCCCCGTACCCCACTGGGGTTCGCCAGGGCAGCGTGCCTGGAGTCCTGCTGCGTGGACCTGCACCATTGTGACGGGGAACAGTCCCAACTCCAACCACCCCTGACAGGAGGGAATCCCTCCTGATCTCCAACTGTAGTGTGCATTTCCCCACAGCTCAACGGGACCCTCAACGGGAGATTGTAATTTACCTGGAAACGAGGTTCTGCCCCTAGTAAGGGGACCATACAGCCAGTGCCGGTAACAGACACAGGCACAAGAAGTTTGGTTCAAAGATGCATCAGTGAGGGAGAGAAATTTTACACCTATTGTCGTCCTTCTTTTGACACCTGTGCCACCTCTTTGTTGAGCAATAGCAGAGGTCAGGGTGTTGCAGGTCACCTTCCCACTGGAGGCAAAGACTGAGTATGTGCTATCCATAATTTACACGCACAGATCAGTTCTGGAACAGAGGTGGTCAACTAGCATGCAGGGAGCAACTCTGCCTCAAGAGCTGATCTCACCTCCCTCTCCAAGGATCGCTTCCCCTGTGTAACAAAACCAACACCACAATCGGTCTCTCCAAGGCTGAACAGTTGCTTGCACACCACGAAAATATCTTGGAAGACCATGTGTCACCTGGGGACACCTGCTCTACTAGCATTAAAAATATTTAGGCTTGGTAGAATTTGATTGTGTTTATATAATTTTGACAGATAGTATTGTGCTTACTTTTAAGTTTTTTAATTTTTTTATCTATTTAAACTTTCACAGTTGTGGGAACATAAGGAGGGGTCAGAGTAAGTATTTAAAGACAACAGATGTCGAGATTCAAAACATTAAAGCTTTGTAACTATTAAACACAAACTGTCAGCGTCACGTGTCAACACATACGAGGTAAATATCCTTCAATCAAACTCTTGTATGTTCTCAGGCAGCATTTTTCTTACTTTGCCTAGCTGTGAATGTCAAATGATTGTCGCTGGGAATATTTATTCATTGGCTTGTGGGTGTGTATGGTGAAATTAACATTTATTGATAAAAATCTCATCCTTCCAGGCCTCGATCTAGCCCTAACCCAATGGAATAAAAGAGCAACATCCTCTACATTGTGAAATCTGCATATAGCCCTCACATCCATGCATCTTCAGAGACACCCATGAGGCAACCAGAAATCCGGATCAACTGGGACACTGGAGTTCCCAAGCCTGGAGGCCAATTATGAGGGGTCAACTTTTCATTCTCCAGGCAAAGTCCAGTCCACAGTGTACTGGTGGAACTCACTGCCACAAGAAGTCAGTGTTCAATATAGCAGCTGATTCTTTTTAAAAGGGCTGAATACACTTGTGCCCAATATCAGGATCAATAAGGTGGGGGGAAGGGGCAATCCAAGCTAAATTTCGGGCATCTACTGTTTGTCATGGGTTAAGAGGGAATTTTGTCTATCTAGATTCTTATTGGATCCTATCAACATAACCAGTGAGTGTCTCCCCCATCTCCTCCGCACACAGCACTGCACGACTCCCTAGGGCTCCTTCACCGTCCTGTCCAGGGTCAGGGATTGGCCATTTCCAGAGACAGGATCCCAGGGCTTTATGGGCCTTTGTTCTGATCTGTTGCATCAAATCCAACAGAGCTTTAATTAGCCACCACCTGTACTTCAGCAGGTGCAATTCAACAATCCATTCTCATACCCATGCGACCCATTCTGTTCTAAAACTTACGCTAATCGATCCCGTAAGGCCTTCCTCTGCAGCCAGACTGAGACCTTGTCTCCACATACCAGAGGAGCGACACCTTGGTGATCAATCTTCCAGGGTTCAATTAATGGGGTCTAGTAAAGACCCACTAAATCAAATGCTGAGGGTACCCCCATCGATTGTGGTAAAGCCTTGCTGTCGTGAGGAGTAATGGAAGTTGAAGGGAAGTTGAATCTCCCGCTGTGGGGCTGCCCCAGAAAATTGATGCAAAGTTACGTTGACTCCAGCTACACCATTCACGTAGCTGGAGTTGCTTATCTTGCATCAATTTTCTCCGCCAGTGGCCTGAAAGAGTAGCAGCCATTAGCTGAAAAGCGGGGAATCACATACATGCCATCTAAATTGCATTAAACTAGTGTCGCACCAGGCAGTTCAGAAGGAGATCCGGACCTAATGGCAACCAATTTCACTAGATAAAAAGATAGCTCTCGAGATGATTAAAGACAACGTAGTTGGAGAGCATTTCATCTGGCAAGAAACTCCTCATCAATAGTCAGGGTTGTAAAATCCTTATTCTAGGATTACAGGCAGTCCCCGGGTTACGTACAAGATAGGGACTGTAGGTTTGTTCTTAAGTTGAATCTGTATGTAAGAACTGGCGTCCAGATTCAGCTTGTTGAAACTGATCAGCGGCTGATTCCAGGAAGCCCGGGACAGAGCAACTCTGCCTCGGGCTTCCTGTAGTCAGCCGCTGGTCAGTTTCAGCAGCAGCTGAATCTGGATGCCAGTTCCGACTTACATACAGATTCAACTTAAGAACCCCAGGCATCCCCAAGTCAGCTGCTGCTGAAACTGATCAGCAGCTGATTCCAGGAAGCCCGGGGCAGAGCAACTCTGCCTTGGGCTTCCTGTAGTCAGCGCTGGTCAGTTTCAGCAGCGGCTGACTTGGGGACGCCTGGGGCAGAGCAGCTTGGGTGCTGCTGGGTTGCTCCAGTAGCGCTGCCGCTCCTCGGCGCTACGGGACCAACCGGCAGCACCCCAGCTGCTGTACCACAGGCGTCCGGAGCAAAGGCGCGGAGCACGGGGGCAGCGGGACAGCCCAGACGTGCCGCGGCTGTCCTGCTGCCCGCGTGCTCCGCGGCTTTGCTCCCCGTCTCCCTGGTCTGCTGGAGACCAGCAGACCAGGGAGACGGGGAGCAAAGCGGAGCAAAGCCGCAGAGCACGCCGGCAGTGGGACAGCCACGGCGCGTCTGGGCTGTCCGCTGCCCGCGTGCTCTGCGGCTTTGCTCCCCGTCTCCCTGGTCTGCTGGAGACCAGCAGACCAGGGAGACGGGGAGCAAAGCGGAGCAAAGCCGCAGAGCACGCCGGCAGTGGGACAGCCACGGCGCGTCTGGGCTGTCCGCTGCCCGCGTGCTCTGCGGCTTTGCTCCCCGTCTCCCTGGTCTGCTGGAGACCAGCAGACCAGGGAGACGGGGAGCAAAGCGGAGCAAAGCCGCAGAGCACGCCGGCAGTGGGACAGCCACGGCGCGTCTGGGCTGTCCGCTGCTGGCGTCCTCAGAGGCTTTGCTTCCCATCTCCCTGGTCTGCTTGTCTTCAGCAGACCAGGGAGACGGGCAGCAAACCCCGTTCATAACTGCGGATCCGACATAAGTCGGATCCGCGTAACTCGGGGACTGCCTGTATAGTCCTCCCTTTCTGATTGTTGGTCTGTGTGATCTCAGTCTGGTTTTTAATTGGTTCGGTCTGCTGAATAATTAATTTTGCGAGATGTAAACCAATTAAGGAGTGGGACATAATTGGTTAGGGAATTACGTTACAATATGTTAGGGTTGGTTAGTAAATAATTGGTTATGGTCTAGATATGCAATTTCACTATATACACTGGGGTCCACGAAGGAGACCCGCAAGGAAGGAAAAAAAGGGAACAGAAAGGAGAAGAAAGTGCCTGGAAAAAGAACTCACCTCCAAGACCCACCTAATATCAGAGCTGCCAAGATTCCTCTGCATGACCATGAGGTGCAGCAACCTGAGTCCAGATGAAACTGACCTTGCCTGGCCAAGAGGGGAAGTTTGCCTGCTTCCATCAGGATGGGTGAGCATGGCCCTGTGTGCTTAGCATACGTGTTCTGCTTACTTGGTACTTGTTAATCAATAGAGGGCAAGGATATTACTCGGTAAGGCTCTTTCACTGGTAAATGGTCCTGCAAACCTGCAGGAAGTTACACCCTGAGCCCCGAGCATTGCATAAGGGGGAGAGGATGGAACTTAAATTAGCAGGGTTACTAGGAACCGGGCAAAGGTGTGTGCCCCTAGAGGGTGGGAGTGATAGAGAATTTGGTGCAGGTAACGCTCCCCCTCTTTCGGCTGGGCCCTATTTCCCAAGCTAAAATGTAACAGGGCGGGGAAGAGATGTGCCGTGGCTAGCTCCTGTGCTAAAAACAGTAGCATAACCACGTGCATGAGCAGTGTCATGGACTTGCCACGTGAGGCACGACGCTGCCCATACACCGCTCTCCAGGGCTTGTTCTGCTCCAGCGACACGATCTGCAGCCCGTGAACTTGCTGAGCGCTAGTGCAAGTATGACTCGGTAAGCGGGGCGTTGCCTCCCTAGCTCCAAGTGAAATTCACCCAGCTGACCACTGGATGTCATGATTGCTCCAGACGAGCAGAACATGGAAGTGCACGTAGCAATAAAGCAAAGCTCCTCTGGACGTTTGGGTTTGTACATTGCTTGGTCTCTCGCGGTGCATTTTTCCTGTCTTGCATTAATGCTCATAAAAAGTAAGGAACTCACAGTGCGGGCAAGGCTCAGATAAGCTTGCAGTAGCCGGGCCAGCTCATCCTAGCAATGTTACAATGTGTACGTTCAGCACCCTTTGCTCTTCGAGACCAGCACAGACTCTGAGTGCGGAATCGTGCCACCGTAGGGGTGATTCTGGGCCATGGGCAAATTACCTAAACCTACTCTTTCAATTTCCTTTGTGATAAAATGAAAATAATCACGCGAGCATTAGCCCGTGTGTCTCCCAACATCCTTCAGCTTGGCTTTGGAATCGTTAGCAGCTGACACCTCCTGAGACTGCAGATAAATTACCACAGCAACCAACAATGCAGGTTGAACCTCTCTAGTCCGGCACTTTCTGGTCCAGCAACCTCCGTGGTCCGGCATGATTTTCGTTAGCTGGATGTCCACGTATCATGAGAGTGGCCAAGTTTCCGGGGGGTCCCACGAAGTTAGTTTACAGCCACCAGTCCTGGCTCGCGGTGTTCTGTGCTGTTATTTAGCTCTAATTTACCCCTAAAAGTCCTCTCAGAGCTCAGTAAGCGTGGCAGCCTTGGTAATGCCGCTAGACAATATTGACTTCCTGTGGTCCAGCAAATTCCTTGGTTCAGCACCAGTCAGATCCCAAGGGTACTAGACTAGAGAGGTCCCACCTGGACATCAAAGACCATTAGGGGAAAGATTCCACTTTCCCTTTCTCCCCATGCTGTACATGTGGATGGACAGCAGGCATAGGACAAGGAATACTCTTCTGCAACGCTTACTTCCCCAGCGAGGACGTGAGAGGAAGCAGCGAGACCCCCCCCTTCATTTTGCCTCTGTAGCCCATCCCCTGTCCTCACCTTCAGGAGCTCCTTGTCCGCAAAAGCCATGATGCCTTCAAAGATAATCACGTTGGCGCCGTACAGAGTTTTCTGGGAGGAAACAGAAGGAAACCGGTCAAACCCAATGCCGGTCGAAAGAGAATGAGAGGAGAAAAACGCTCTAGAGGAGGGAGCGACATTAAAGGTGCATGAAGCTCAGTGAAACAGGAAGGAACTGGGAACATCTCTCACGGCCGCAGAGCCTGTCCATGCAAAATCTGCCCCCCCCCAGGACCGTATGTTGCAATGCCATCCTCTCTGCAAGGAGGCCTGGCTCGAACTGCCTTCAGACCTTCTCCATGCTATTCCTTACAGCGACAGCCAGACTCGGCACTGCATGATCAGCGGCTCTCCCTGCTGCAGTGGTTCTCAAACTTTTTGGCCCACAGCCCACCCCACTCAACATAAACCTTCCTGCGGCCCACCAGAGAACCACTCATCAGGACAAAATGGGTGCAGGAGGAGGTGAGGGTGAGGCTGGGAGGTTGGGTGCAGGGTCTGCTGATCTGGGCACAAACCCCTGCTCCTAACCCGGGACAAGAGACCTGGTCAGCTCCAGAGCCACTGGCTTCTTCCACTTGAGCTAGAGGGGAACTCCCTTTGCGGGCAGCAGTAGTAGAGCCTTTATCTTGGGTTTGCCAGCCACTAGATGACAGCATCACTCCCTCCCTTATGCACACCAAGCCAGCCCATTATGCTGCCCCTGCTGGGTTCCTGCCACGCCAGGGAGTAACACAATCCGCACCAGAAATATGCATCCAATTCCCCTGAACGTGAGCTCCTAGGCTGGGCTCTTGGGTTTTCCATCCAGTCTGACGGGCATGGGACTTTTGGTTGGAAGAGGCAGGTGCATTACCCCTTCTTCGCATCCCAGCATCGCCTCATCCCCACGTGTCACACCCCCTGCCCCCCCGGCAGTCCCTGTGCCCCCCCTACCCATTCCTTCTTCCGGCTGAGGGTGGTGAAGTCGTAGATGGGGACCTTCACGCTCTTGCCTTGCTTGAGCTTCTTCAGGGTGGCGATGATCAAGTCGAAGTCAAAGGCATCGGGGTGGTCGAAGTTGAAGTCGTTGCTGGCTGCCTGCTCCTGCTGCTGTTTGGTCAGCACCTGCCGGAGACAGAAGGGGGCGCTGCAGGGCTCAGTGCCGCCCCCTTCAGCAGACAGCAGGGCGGTGCGAGGGACCGTGGGAATGCACCCCCCATCCCGTACACTGTGGAGCAGCGCCAGGGGGCAGATCTGCCCTACCGGGCAGGATTCCAGGAATCTCCTACCCCTGCAGGCAGAAGCAGCCGTGCTCCCTGGCCCGTGTCCTGGCGAAGGGGCTGCTGCTGGTGACACCGTAGCAAGAGGAAGGAGGGACAGTGGTGAGGACAGCGCCCCAGGGCCGGCCGAAGGGAACCTGGGCCAACGTGTGTTTTGGTGCCCTTTCTCTGAGTGGGGTGGACAGGTGTGGGGGCAGCTCCCTGTACAGTGACCCCCCCCATCTGCAGATAGGAATCAATGGCAGCAGGAAGGGGGGAGGGGGGAGTGGAGCTGCCCTGCAGCGGAGGGTAGGTCTGATCTGGCCCAGGCAGGGCAAAAGGAAATCCTATTTCCTCTCCAGCCCAGCTGAGACTACCCCAGCCCTGCCCCTCTCCAGCTCTGGGCCCAGTGCTCGGAGGCTAAAGGGGCCTTGGGCAGGTTGCACGTATGGAGAGGATTGACCCACCTGTCAGGCTGGCCCTGGGTTCAAATCCTTGCTCCGCCACAGCCCTCTGTGATGGAGGAGAGAGGCACAGACAGAGAGAGTGCCTGACGCACTCCTCAGCCAAGGGCACATTTCTCCGTGCCTCAGTTTCCCAACGGGGGTGACCGCATTTCCCTGCCTCATGGGGCTTTATGAATCTTTACTGCGTGAAGGACGGAGAGAGGCTTGGGTCCTACAGTCATGGGGAGGGCGTCAAGAGAAACTAGACATTTCATTGATGGTGGAGCATGTGTGTGTGCCTCAGCTAATACAGCTCAGTCCCGACCGGGCTATTCCAGACCTGGTCCTCTGGTCCCCGAGACTGAGGCCGAACACTGGCAGGATTTGAGCAAGTGCCATGGCAGAGCTCTGCCAGTCCTGACCCAGGCCACGGACACACACTCGAAAGAGATGCTGGTCTTTCCCTGGCCAGCTTGTGCTGTTCTGCTTCAGCAGGCCGAGAGAGGACTCGGGAGGGCAGAGGGTGGAGGGGGATAAATGCATCTGAGCCATCAGTAATGGGGAGGAGCGGCCTGCTAAGATCCGGCAGCAGCTCACCTTGTAGAATGAGTCCATGGAGAGCAGAACCACCCAGGGGACATCTAAGGCTTCGATGATCATCCTGGCCACCGTGGTGTGCTGTTCTGCTTCAGCAGGCCGAGAGAGGACTCGGGAGGGCAGAGGGTGGAGGGGGATAAATGCATCTGAGCCATCAGTAATGGGGAGGAGCGGCCTGCTAAGATCCGGCAGCAGCTCACCTTGTAGAATGAGTCCATGGAGAGCAGAACCACCCAGGGGACATCTAAGGCTTCGATGATCATCCTGGCCACCGTGGTCTTCGCGCTGTAATTCGCGAGGGACGGCCCTGGCTCTTCAGCCTTTCCTAGGAGAATCCTCAGGCTAGGAGGGGAGCTGGCGTTCGAACCAGCCCAGGGCCAATGCTGGTGCTGGACACACCCAGTACAATGAAACTGCTCTGTAACTGTGACCCTTATGTGGAGCGAAGGGAGAGGGGGGATCGCTCACCCTGGATTAGAGGGAAAGGCCACCCCACTCCTCCTCTGTCCCGGCTCCGCGGAGCGTCAGCTCACTGGGGCCGGGGCACGGCTCGCTACATGCCCACAGAGCAGCTGGTGGCATGGGACCCTGGGCACAGGGAGGTCTCTGGGTGCCACCTCAATGCCAACACAGCCAATGCACCCGCCTCGGTCACTCCGCAATGGACCGCAGGGGGGGGAGGGCGTATGCTGGGGGCTCCCTCTGTGACCATGGCCAGTGGTGGGACAGCAGACACGCCCCACTCCCTTGTGGGCCTCTCCGGGTGGATCCCCAGGCCAAAAGGGACATTGTGTGACCTAGCGCAGGGATTTCAAACTTTTTTTCTCGTGGCCTCGTTGGAGAAAAAAACCCAACATCATGTAACTGGAGTGTGGGCTCCGGGGAGGGGCTGAGGAGGAGCTTTGGAGTGTGGG